CTCACATCCCCACCATCTCCTTGTCACATCCCCCCAAGATCATCTCCACTGTTTCCACCCGGATTCTTTGTCTTTTCCTCCACAGCACTCACAGAAGCTGGGGTCACTCAGTCTCCCAGATACAAGGTCACGGAGAAAAGCCAAGCTGTGTCTCTTTGGTGTGATCCAGTTTCTGGTCACAACGTCCACTTCTGGTATAGGCAGACCCCGGGACAGGGCCCAGAGAGGCTGCTTTATTTTCAGAACAAGGCTATGAGTGAGGAAGCCCAGTTGCCCAAAGATAGGTTTTCTGCACAGAGGCCTGAAGGTGCAGACTCCACCCTGAAGATTCAGCTGCACAGCTGGAGGACTCAGCGGTGTATCTCTGTGCCAGCAGCTTAGACACAGCCAGGCAGGGACCGTTTCCTGCTGTGCACAAAGCTCTGTGCTTCTCTGCCTCTGTGCAGCTCAGAGCTGCCCTGCACAGCGCCTGCGCTTTCCTCACCATCTGAGGATTGAGGAAGGAGGCCCGTCTTCAGATGCAGGCTTCATTCATGTCAGGAGAGGGCAGGCATTGCTTCTTGAGACATGAGGGCTGCATTGTGTGAAAAGGATATCTGAGGGACTGGAAGCAATCAAGAACCGCAAAGTGACAGTCCCTCAGGAGAGACTTGGGCATCCCAGAGCCCAGATGTACTTTGTTCATAAACCATGCACTCCCAAAACAGACCGTCAACTCAGGACCATAGAGTTGGTTGATATGCTCAAATGTTTTGCTGTTTCTCTGTGGCTCCTGAGTGACTGAATGTGAGCCTTGCTGGCATCCTTGACATTAGCTTCTTGGTCTAGCTTCCAATCTTTCTTTCCATTTGGATTCTCCTTCATTTTTTGCATTATTTTATAGATTTTTCGCCCTCTGTTCATATGGAAATAACTTAATAATAATGATGTTGTGTTGGTAATGATGATGTTGATGATGGTCATTTATGTATTTTTGCCAGCAACTTCACAACTGCAGAGAAATGCACATCCTAAACCGAAGTCTTGGTTCAAATCAAAATCTGCTTTTACTAGAGCACACTTAATTTTTTTCGTTGGGACCCTCCAAGCTCTGCACTGTTTTAGGCTTGGGTCAGATGGTTGAGAGGAAACTGTGCATTATTGAAAAGTCATTGACTGGGAATGTTCTGAAGGTGTTCTCTCTTTCCCCAGCTCATCCGGGCATCTCTTCCCTCTTCATCTAGCCTACCTGCAGGCAAGATAGGTCTTGTCAATCACTGATCCTTATCTAATAAACTTGTCTGACAAAAACAGTCATGGGATGGATCAACATGACCATTAACCATGTCTTTAGCACGATTGTTACTTGGTTCTTTTCCCAACCTCCTATGTCACTTCTCATAGTTACTAAGTCCCTCATGGTATAATTTCTAGATCATTTTTAGTATCTTTGAACATAAAAATAAGATATTTAGGGAACAGTTTGCCTTATTATTTTCACCTCTGAAGGCTGTGGACAATTGCCTTTTCTTCCTCCTTCTCTTAGGGCCCGTGCACGAATGGGGGGAGAAGTCAGAGGTCTCTGAAGGTGGATGGCAGCCAGCCTTCGGGTTTCCAGTGCGAAACACTGGCGAAATATGCAGGTGTGGATGAGGAGTGAGGAGAGGGCCCAGAGACCCCGTGTGAGCTGTGGGAAGCAGCAGTGTGGGATGCGGAGGGGCTCCACCAGGCAGACCTCGCTCTGAATCAGCTGTGTTGAAATGAACTTCTGAGGAGCCATGATTTCTGCGTTCTAAGCCTCCCCATTTTCTCCTCTTACTGAGTGTGATCTTAACTCACAGTAATGTTTGTTCCTTCTTCCTGGCTCCTGATAGAAGGTGCATCTCAGGACTGCTGGCATCTTTGGCTTCATTAATATCAAGTTACTCCAGGGCTCAGTGATGTCACTGTAGCACCTCCCAGTGGGACAAGGGCTGCCCTCCTCTCCCATGGCTACTTACAAAAGACTGTGATAGGGTGACTTCCTCCTCCTCCTCCTCCTCCTCCTCCTCCTTCTCCTCTTCTTCCTCCTCTTCCTTCTCCTCCTCCTCCTCTTCTTCCTCTACCTCCTTTCCTTCTACCATGAGCACCAGGCTCCTCTGCTGGGTGGTCCTCTGCCTCCTTGGCAATGGTAAGTCATCAAGTAGCACTAAGCGAGCAGTCCTGTTGGGAGTGTGTGTGTGTGTGTGTGTGTGTGTGTCTATGTGTGTGTGTGTGTGTGTGTGTAATGATTTGAAAAAGAATGTCCTTCTGTATTCCAAGGTCATACCAAATCTGGGATCTCCCAGTCTCCTCGACACAGAGTCACAAGAGGGGACACACTGTGCTACTCAAGTGTGACCCCATTTCTGGACACGAGTGTCTTTACTGATATAGACAGACCCCGGGTCAAGGCCTAGAATACCTGACTCACTTCCAGTATGAAGTTGCTGCTGAAAAACCTGAGATGCCTGTTGAGCGGTTCTCTGCACAGAGGCTCCTTCTCGACTTTGAAGATGCAGCCTGCAGAGCAGGGAGACTCGGCCCTGACCCTGTGTGCCAGCTGTCAGACACAGTGTGCCTCAGCCCCCTCCTTCCTGAGCACAAACCATAAGGGCTCAGCCTCCTCCCACTTCCCAGAGACCCAAACTCAGGAGTTGCCTGGCCTGCTCCTCATGGAAGGGAATGAAGGATTTGGAACCAGAATGGAGATCTGGCAGCAGGAGGACAGGAAAGATCCACTGAATTACAACAACAAGGAATTCAGGATGGGGAAAAACTGGGGCTAAGCTTTCTGACATTAGCATTATAGTCAAGATTCCACATCTGGGATTGGACTTGAAAGCTTAATCTCAAAGACCGTGAGAAGTAAGTGTTCTACTGGAAGTTTATATAATTTAAATATTTACAATAAACTTTTGGGCTGAGTGTCACTAACACGCCTATACAAATCGAAGAGTTGGCCAGCAAGAACAAAGTAACACAAAGACAATTTGTAGCTATCAGTCCTTCACAAAAATGTAGGATTGTGGGCTGGGATGGTGGCTCAGTGGTAGAGCGCTTGCCTTGCATGCATGAGGCCCTGGATTCGATTCCTCAGCACCACATAAGCCAAAAGAAATAAGCCGGATATGACGCTGTGGCTCAAGTGGTAGAGCACTAGCCTTGAGCTGAAGAGCTGAGGGACAGCGCCCAAGCCCAGAGTTCAGGCCCCACGAACGGCCCCACCCCCCAAAAAAATGTAGGAGTGTAAGTAAGAATTACCATCAAAATCAATTATCTGCAAGCAATTGTCACTGTCTGTAATACACCTAAAACTATGTCCAAATGATACTTTATGAAATTTTGAAAGTCATTGCTTAATGTCCTTCTCTTTTTGCTCAATTTTATGAAATATATCTCACATGAGGTGTTAAAAGGAAGTTCAAAGATCCAAACAGCAGTATCATCTACATTGTACCTTCCTTTGAGGCTTCTAAACTACGTGTGTCAATTTACACTCACACCAGAAGAATAGCAGACTTTCAGTTTGTTCTCTGTTAGATTTACAATTGTTTCCATGTTACTTGTCTATTTTTACTATTTGTTGATTAATTGCATATATGTACATACTATGGCATGGTAATCTAATACATGTCCTTTCCTGAATAATTTATAATAATTTTTGATTAACCTAGTAGGTGCACAAATTTGTGGATGTTATTAATAACTATTTCCTCTTCAATATTTAGGAAAGCAAAAATTCTTAAGAACAAATCTCTCCATTTCACCCTTTTTTAGGTGGTAATCCATATTTGATACCAGTTTAAGACAATACAATTTCCAATTGACCTTGCTTTAATATATTTCCTTGTAAAAGTTTTGAATTGCCACTCTCACCACAACGTCCCAAGTTATAGATGTTAAATCTACAAAAGACAATGGAATTATGAAAGTGATACCCCTACACCACAGGTTGGATTGACCAAACTAAGAAAGGAACAAGAAAGACATGGAAGGAAAAAACATACCAAAATGCAGACACCAGGTAAACAGTCGAATCACATCTGAGCAGTGTCAATGTTCTTATTAAAATGCATGGACTTTGCATCCAAGTAGAAGACCACTAGAACACTCATTTGTGTGAATGTGTGAGGATTGGGGTTCAATTCCCAGCAGCCCAAAAAATAATCAAAACAAGAACAAATAATTGCAAGAAATCTTGAAGTTCCCTAGAATAAATTCTATCTTGCAAGTATAAAGAAACTGGATAGAAAAGTAAAGAGACAGGAAAAAGCAGCACACTAATACTAAATAGCCCAAATCAAGACATTAATATCAATGTTTCAGAATAAATCATATCACTTTAGAATTAAATTATACATTTTATTATATATAAAACACGTATTATATGTACTATGTCTATTATGTCCGTTTTATGAAAATGTATTTGGGAAGTATATTCATAATTCAAATAACTTCTAGGAATCAGTTAGAAAGCAGACATGATTCAACCTAAAAATTAGCAAAAGAGTTGATAGGATCTTACAAATGGAAGATACACAAGCAGGCAGCTTCCTCTTCATATGACTGCTCCACTTGCTGAGGCAGCCATGGAGAAGCCTTGTTGACTGAGGGAATCCACGGTGCTTCCCTTGTGGGCATCACCAGGGGTCAAAGACAATGACTTGCCCAGGTCACAACACACTGATGACACCTGGCATGTAATGACCCTTGGGTTTCTCCATGCTTACCACAGTATATCAAGGAAGCAAGGACTTTTCTTCTCATTTCAGACCAGAAGGGTTATTTCACACCTCCCTCATGTTTATAGACAAGAGCTGAGATTGCAAGAGACAATACTCCAGTCCTCTACAGTTGTCCTGGGGTCTCATGGACCCTGGGGCCAGCTCCTGGTTCAGGCAGTAGAGTGCCATTCCAGTAATGAGCAGAGCTGTTCACCAGAGGGCAGTGTGGGCCCACTGAGCTAGCTGCTTCCTGACTGGGAGAGTGTGGGGTCAGCCTTGGCTTGTTGTCCCAGGGAGGGAAGTGTTTAGATAAACAGACAGAGTGCTGACCTAGGAGGGGAGAATCCCCCCCACTCTTTCTCTCTCTGTTTCTCTGTGTCTCTGTCTCCCCACAGCCCTATCTCTCTTTCTCAGACCTGTGCCCTCAGTAGGGAGATGATGCCTGGGGCTGCTACCCTGGACTCTCCCCCAGGCCCTAGGCTCCTCTGTGGTATTGTCCTGTGTCTCCTGGGAGCAGGTGAGTCAGGGGCTCTGGTGGGGCAGAGCCTGGTTGCTGGAGCATCCTATGCCCTCCTGGGCTAGGGCTACATTGCTGTCTCTCCCTGCCTAGGTGTGGTGCATGCTGGGGTCCTCCAGTCCCCCAGACACCTGATCAAAGCCAAGGGAGGAAAGGCCACTCTGCAGTGCTTTCCTGACTCTGGACATAATACTGTGTACTGGTACCAGCAGGCCGAGGACCAGAGCCTCCAGTTCCTCATTTCTTATTTTGGAGAATCAGAGAGAGATAAAGGAAGCATCCCTGGGCGCTTCTCAGCTCGGCAGTTCAGTGACTATCACTCTGAGCTGAACATGAGCGCCTTGCAGCTGAAGGACTCCGCGCTGTATCTGTGTGCCAGCAGCTTGCACAGCCCTGCACAGGGACTGGCTTTCTCTACCCAAACCTTCCTGCCCCAGCTGAGGATGCCACTGAGGGAGGGGGGGGGGCTGAGGCCCAGCCTTAGCAAACCCCAGGAGCCTTCTGCAGCTGTGGTAACCCTTCTCTGTTCTGCCCAGCTCAGACAGCTTCTGAGCCCTTTATTTCCTAACTCTCTGGACCGTCTCTGCTCTGTGCATAAATGCACATTAGATATTATAATGCAAACACAGTCATTAGAATATCCTCTTTGTATACAGGAGATGTTAAGGTATGAGTTCATAGATGGAAAGCTGTAGCTCATGGATTTCATAACATTTAATATTTAAAAGGATCAGTGCTGGGATCGAAGTGTACATTCACTACTCCTAACCTGAAGTGCTCCTGGAGCTCTAGAGTGTTTTCTGGTCTGTACAATAGCAGATAGCACAGCAGTGTCTGTCCACTGCAAGATCAGCTGAGCAGCAACAGTGAGTCCCATTATGGATTGTGGTTGCTATGAGCTAGTGCCTGCCATCAACCTTCAGGACAGAGAGCATTTACCCAGAGAATGCGCCTATGATAAGCTGAAGAAGAGATACATGTTTTCAGCAAACTAAAACTTTAATTCTGTAATGAATTTCAAAATAAATAAGAAGTAGATACTTATAGCTGATACTGATACCCAAAGAAATTATTCTTTCAAAGCCTATCATAATAGGTAGATTACACCTTATTTTAAAATTGATCCTGGGAACTTTGATAGTCCCTGCACCTTTAACCCGACCCCTCAAGAAAAACGCAAGGATCAGCTAGACTCCAACATATATCCTAAAAAATTAAAAAGAGTAATGGAAGGATGTGGGTAGGGGCAGCACAGGTGAAAATGTTTCAAGGGGTGACCTTGAACACTATAATATTTCCCCATAACTGTCTTGATAAATGGAAAATCCTTTTTATATTTACATAAAGACAATAATTAAACATACTTATATGTGTATGTACATATGTTCAAAAAAGCAATCTTTCTGTCCATGGCTTGGCCCAACCATGCTCCACAGGCTCCTTTTGTTGGTGTCTCTTGGGCTCTAGGACCAGCTGGGTCTTCCAAGGCCAGAGCACTAGGCTCTCATTGGATTCTGTCCACCTGCTGTGTCTAGTCCGGTTCTGTATTCCTCCTCACTAGACCAAGAGGGCAGCAATGTCATCAAGATTCAGTTCCCTTGTGTGACGGCAGGATGGAGAGCTCACATTGGGTCATGGCCTACCTGGAAAATGATAACAGGCAATGAATGGTACAGCGTAGGGATACATTTTCATGATACAGAAGTTTAGGCTCCATCCATATTATTCTTTTGGTGAATGGGAATCTGTGAATGAAGACAGAGAATGTCGGTGTGATTCTGGACACAGCACTCATCTATCCTTGCTGGTCAAAATCTCCTTCCTATTAGTGATCAGCCTTCTTATCTTTGGGCAGAAAGCATGGCAGGGAGACATGAGTGATCCAAGGTCCATGGCTGGACTGAAACCAGAGAGAATTCATCTCATGAGGACACCTGGAGACCTGAGCCCAGAGCGCTGCTGTCACCCGAATCATTGTGAAACTAGATCCTGCACCCTGACCTTCACACGCTAATACCTGGATATCTGGTGACTTTTGAAGGCTGGGATATCTTCTCAGACTGACAGGTAATTATTTACCAATAGGGTAAATAGAAAATACTGAAAAAAGCTACTTACAGGTACTAAGAGCTGAGATGCCTTAGAAAGTCACAGGGCAGCAGTGTGGCTATGCTGAGTCTGCCAGAACCTTAGGAACCTTTGGAACATTGGAATGAAAGGGACTTTTATCTTAAGGGAATTTAAAGAAGACCAGAGGAACAGATGTCCTTCCTAAGATAATGAAAACACTAAAATAGATAGTTCCAGTTAATAAGAAATTAAAACTGACACTCATTATGAACTGTTAAATCGTGTATATGCACTACCAGTACTCGTATAAATGCCATAACCCTGTGCATGCACATAACAGAAAGGAGTTGTTTCTGCAGGGAAGGGGCGTGGCAGGTTAGCAGCATCCCAGGCATTGGTGGGGAGGTGAGGCCACTGAGTGACTGAGAAGCAACCTTCTTTTTCCTCCAAAGGAGGCTGGGAGACCTGGGACTCTGACCTGCTCCTGAGATGGGCGCCCAGCTGCTGCACGTGGCCTTCTGTCTCCTGTGGGCAGGTGAGGGATGGCTTCAGGTGGGCACCTCACTGCCTCCCACCCCAGGGCATCCCGGGGTTATCCCTGACAGGCCCCTTCAGGCTTGGGTCATTCTCTGTTACAGGACACATGGAGGCTGCCATCAGCCAACGTCCAAGAGACAAGCTCACAGAGACAGAAAGATAGGTGAATTTGAGTTGTCGCCAGAATGACAACCATGACTACATGTACTGGTATCGACAAGACCCTGGGCATGGGCTGAGGCTGCTCCATTACTCGTATGGAGAGAGGAGCACTGCAAAAGGAGACATCCCCGACGGGTACAGCGTGTCCAGACCATGCACGGAGGACTTCTCCCTCACTATGGACTCAGCCACCCCCTCCCACACAGCTGTGTACTGGTGTGCCAGCAGTGTCTCCACAGTGCTGCGGGGCTGCCTCCTCTCTGCACAGAAAGTGTGAGGGGAGATGGAGGGCATCTGCTCGCACCTTTGAAGTCTCTAGTCTCAACAGCAGTGTGTGCCAACAAGTTCCTTCTCAGCCCCTATCAGATCAGAGATTGGGGGCCACAGGGTACAAATGTCCTTGCTTAAAAATGTGTGCACCCTGGTGGTGCGATTCCTTGTTCTAGGTGACAGTGCCCATTGAATTAGCATTGAATCAAATTGATCTTCAACAGTGTCAGGAAGATGCTGGTGGTAGATTGGGATTTTCTGGATGGAAGATATACAACAGAGTTATAATTAGCCTTTAGGATTTATTTTATTGTATTATTGAGTTTCCCATCACTGTGACAGTAATCCCAAGGAGAAAATGTTTATTTATTTGAGTCACAATTTTAGGCATTTTAGTAAGTGTTCACTGGGCTGTGTTGTTTCTGCTAGAGAAGTTGGGCATCATGGTGGGAAGAACATAGCATAGCAGAGTTGATTGCTCCATAGCAGCCTGGCAGCAGAGATGGAGGGAGCAAAAAGGAGGGAGAGAGAAAGAACATAGACAGCAAGCAAGCAAGCCAGAAAGAAAGAAATGAAGGAAAGAAAAGAGGAGAGAAAGAATGGAAGGAAGGAACAAACGAAGGATGGAAGGAAGGAAGGAAGAAAGGACAGACACAAGGAAGGAAAAGGAAGGGAAGGAGTACTAGACAAATACATGTACAGAAGACAGAGAGAGGGAGAGACAGAGACAGAGACAGAGAGAGACAGAGAGAGAATAAGCACAAGGCATGAACCTGATTTGGGACATGTCCAAGTGAGCAACTTCCTCCAACTAGTTTCCCAACAGTTACCATCCTCAGTTTTCTCCATCCTTTACTACTTCATTCAGATCAGACACCGTTAGTACAATGATCCATGAAGGAAACTGGAGCCCCAGTGATGGGACTCCAAAGTCCTGCTTCTGATCACTGCCTGCACACAGGACCACATTCTTGAGTGCTGATGCAACACTGCACCTCTAAACTATAACAACATTTCTGAGCTGTTTTCTTTCTGTAGCATTGCTCACCTCCTCCAATAAATTTGGCAGAGAATTCTTATCACTAGATAACTGAAAGACAGCCCATGAGAACCTGGAGAAAGAGAAAGGCTCAAAGGGATGGGTAGTTACATGGCAGAGGGAAGCTCACTAGCTCATAGCTTCAATTTCAGTTGCTTTGGTAGAGGCAAGAAGAAATATCCAGGAGATCTGGAAATGTGGAGGGAGCCTCAACTCTTAAAATGTTGGAACAATATGTGCCTTTCCACAGGCTATGACTGTGCACAGCCTCAAGAGCTCTCTGGGCTTGCTGCTATTGGACAGGAAGACAGAGGCCTCCATGGAGATGTCACATAGCATCACGGTGGGGGCTGCTGGGTGGGGACACAGAAGCTCCTCCTCTGCTGCATTCCCCAGGACAGAGAGCTGGGAGCACCTCCTGCACTGCCTCACCATGGGCACCAGCCTGCCATCCTGCATGTCCCTGTGTCTCCTGGGGATGGGTGAGTCCTCACATCCCCACCATCTCCTTGTCACATCCCCCCAAGATCATCTCCACTGTTTCCACCCGGATTCTTTGTCTTTTCCTCCACAGCACTCACAGAAGCTGGGGTCACTCAGTCTCCAAGATACAAGGTCACCGAGAAAAGCCAAGCTATGTCTCTTTGGTGTGATCCAGTTTCTGGTCACAATGCCCTCTTCTGGTATAGGCAGACCCTGGGACAGGGCCCAGAGAGGCTGCTTCATTTTCAGAACATGGATGTGAGTGAGGACGCCCAGTTGCCCAAAGATCGGTTTTCTGCACAGAGGCCTGAAGGTGCAGACTCCACCCTGAAGATTCAGCTGCACAGCTGGAGGACTCAGCAGTGTATCTCTGTACCAGCAGCTTAGACACAGCCAGGCAGGGACCGTTTCCTGCTGTGCACAAAGCTCTGTGTTTCTCTGCCTCTGTGCAGCTCAGAGCTGCCCTGCACAGGGCCTGCGCTTTCCTCACCATCTGAGGAAGGAGGAGGAGGCCCGTGTTCAGATGCAGGCTTCACTCATGTCAGGAGAGGGCAGGCATTGCTTCTTGAGACATGAGTGCTGCAAACGTGTGAAAAGGATATCTGAGGGACTGGAAGCAATCAAGAACCCCAAAGTGACAGTCCCTCAGGAGAGACCTGGTGTCCCAGAGCCCAGATCTAACTGGTCCATAAACCATGCACTCCCAAAACACACACAGCCAACTCAGGACCATAGAGTTGGTTGATATGCTCGACTGTTTGGCTGTTTCTCTGTGGCTCCTGAGTGACTGAATGTGAGTCTTTCTGGCATCCTTGGCATTAGCTTCTTGGTCTACCTTCCTGTCTTTCTTTCCACGTGCATTTTCCTGCATTTTCTGCATTATTTTATAGATTTTTCACCCTCTGTTCATATGGAAATAACTTAATAATAATGATGTTGTGTTGGTGATGATGATGATGGTCATTTATGTATTTTTGCCAGCAACTTCACAACTACAGAGAAATGCACATCGTAAACCAAAGTCTTGATTCAAACCAAATTCTGCTTTTACTAGAGCACCCTTAAGTTTTTCATTGGGACCCTCCCAACCCTGCAATATTTTAGGCTTGGGTCTGATAGTTGAGAGGGAACAGTGCATTATTGGAAAGTCATTGACTGGGAATGTTCTGAAGGTGTTCTCTCTTTCCCCAGCCCATCCTGGCATCTCTTCCCTCTTCATCTAGCCTACCTGCAGGCAAGATAGGTCCTGTCAATCACTGATCCCTACCTAATAAACTTGTCTGACAAAACCAGTCATGGGATGGATCAACATGACCATTAACCGTGTCTTTAGCACGATTGTTACTTGGTTCTTTTCCAAATCTCCTATGTGACTTCTCATAGTTACTAAGTCCCTCATGATATAATTTCTAGAGTCTCCCTGACACAGAGTCACAAAGAGGGGACACACTGTGCTACTCAGGTGTGATCCCATTTCTGGACACGAGCGTCTTTATTGGTATAGACAGACCCCGGGTCAAGACCTAGAGTACCTGACTCACTTCCAGTATGAAGTTGCTGCAGAAAAACCTGAGATGCCTGTTGAGTGGTTCTGTGCACAGACGCCCAATGGCTCCTTCTCAACTTTGAAGACGCAGCCTGCAGAGTAGGGAGACTCGGCCCTGTACCTGTGTGCCAGCTGCCAGACACAGTGTGCCTCAGCCCCCTCCTTCCTGAGCACAAACCATAAGGGCTCAGCCTCCTCCCACTTCCCAGAGACCCAAACTCAGGAGTTGCCTGGCCTGCTCCTCATGGAAGGGAATGAAGGATTTGGAACCAGAATGGAGATCTGACAGCAGGAGGACAGGAAAGATCCACTGAATTTCTGCAACAAAGAATTCAGGATGGGGAAAAACTGGGGTTTAGCTTTCTGACGTTACAATTATAGTCAAGATTCCACATCTGGGATTGGACTTGAAAGCTTAATCTCAAAGACCATGAGAAATAAGTGTTCTAATTGAAGTTTATATAATTGAACATATTTACAATAAACTTTTAGGCTGAGTGTCACTAAAACTCATATACAAATTGAAGAGTTGGCCAGCCAGAACAAAGTAACACTAAGACAATTTGTAGCTATCAGTCCTTTACAAAAATGTTGTATTGTGGGCTGGGAAGGTGGCTCAGTGGTAGAGCGCATGCCTTGCATGCATGAGGACCTGAGTTCGATTCGTCAGCATCACATAAGCAAAAAGAGAAAGGTGGAAGTGGTGCTGTGGGTCAAATGGTAGAGCACTAGCCTTGAGCTGAAGAGCTGAGGAGCAGCGCCCAGGTCCAGAGTTCAGGCCCCACGACTGGACCCCCCCCCAAAAAAAAGAAGGTAAGATTGTAAGTAAGAATTACCATCAAAATCAATTATCCACAAGCAATTGTCACTATTTGTAATACACCTAAACTATGTCCATATGATACTTTATGAATTTTTGAAAGTCATTGCTTAATGTCCTTCTCTTTTTGCTCAATTTTATGAAATATATCTCACATGAGGTGTTAAAAGGAAGTTCAAAGATCCAAACAGTATCATCTACATTGTACCTTCCTTGGAGTCTTCTAAACTACGTGTGTCAATTTACACTCACACCAGAGGAATAGCAGACTTTCAGTTTGTTCTCTGTTAGATTTACAATTGTTTCCATGTTACTTGTCTATTTTTACTATTTGTTGATTAATTGCATATATGTACATACTACAGCATGGTAATCTAATATATGTCCTCTATAGAATAATTTAAAATAATTTTTGATTAACTTATTGTATTTGCACAAATTTATGGATGTCATAAATAACTATGTCCTGTTCAATATTTTGAAAAGCAAAAGTTCTTAAGAATAAATCTCTCCATTTCACCCTCTTTTAGGTGGTAATCCATATTTGATACCGGTTTAAGACAATATGATTTCCAAATGACCTTGCTTTCCTATATTTCCTTGTAAAAGTTTTGAATTACCACTCTCACCACAACATCCCAAGTTATAGTTGTTAAATCCACAAAAGACAATGGAATTATGAAAATGGTGTCCCTACCCCACAGGTTGGATTGACCAAACTAAGAAAGGAACAAGAAAGACATGGAAGGAAAAAGCATACAAAATGCAGACACCAGATAAACAGTCGAATCATATCTGAGCAGGTTCAATGTTCTTATTAAAAGGCATGGACGTTGCATCTAAGTAGAAGGCCACTAGACCATTCATTTGTGTGAATGTGTGAGGTTCGGGGTTCAATCCCCAGCAGCCCAAAAAATAATCAAAACAAGAACAAATAACTGCAACAAATCAAGATGTCCCCTAGAAGAAATTCAATTTGCAAGTATAAAGAAACAGGATAGAAAAGTAAAGAGACAGGAAAAAGTAGCATACTAATACTAATGGCCCAAATCAAGACATTAAAATCAATGTTTCAGAATAAATCATATCACTTTAGAATTAAATTATACATTTTATTATATATAAAACACGAATTATATGTACTATGTCTATTATGTCTGTTTTATGAAAATGTATTTGGGAAGTATATTCATAATTCAAATAACTTCTAGGAATCAGTTAGAAAGAAGACATGATTCAACCTAAAAATTAGCAAAACAGTTGATAGGATCTTACAAATGGAAGATACACAAGCAGGCAGCTTCCTCTTCATATGACTGCTCCATTTGCTGCGGCAGCCATGGAGAAGCCTTGTTGACTGAGGGAATCCACGGTGCTTCCCTTGTGGGCATCACCAGGGGTCAAAGACAATGACTTGCCCAGGTCACAACATACTGATGACACCTGGCATGTAATGACTCTTGGGATTCTCCATGCTTACTAGAGTATATGAAGGAAGGAAGGACTTTTCTTCTCATTTAAGACAAGAAGGGTTGTTGCACACCTCCCTCATGTTTATAGACAAGAGCTGAGATTGCAAGAGACAATCCTCCAGTCTTCTGGGGCTGTCCTGGAGTCTGGAGGACCCTGGGGACAGCTCCTGGTTCAGGCAGTAGAGTGCCATTCCAATAATGAGCAGAGCTGATCACCAGGGGGCAGTGTGGACCCACTGAGCCAGCTGCTGCTTGACTGGGAGAGTGTGGGTTCAGCCTTGGCTTGTTGTCCCAGGCAGGGATGTGTTTAGATAAAAAGGAGTGCTGGCCCAGGAGCTGAGAATCATCCTCCCCCCCCCTTTCTCTCTCTGTTTCTTTGTCTCTCTGTCTCCCCACACCCCTCTCTCTCTTTCTCAGACCTGTGCCCTCAGTAGGGAGATGATGCCTGGGGCTGCTCCCCTGGACTCTGCCCCAGGCCCCAGGCTCCTCTGTGGTGTTGTCCTGTGTCTCCTGGGAGCAAGTGAGTCAGGGGCTCTGGTGGGGCAGAGCCTGGTTGCTGGAGCATCCTATGCCCTCCTGGGCTAGGGCTTCATTGCTGTCTCTTCCTGCCTAGGTGTGGTGCATGCTGGGGTCCTCCAGTCCCCCAGACACCTGATCAAAGCCAAGGGAGGAAAGGCCACTCTGCAGTGCTCTCCTGACTCTGGACATGATACTGTGTACTGGTACCAGCAGGCCGAGGACCAGAGCCTCCAGTTCCTCATTTCCTATTTTCGAGAGTCAGAGAGAGAGAAAGGAAGCATCCCTGGCCGCTTCTCAGCTCGGCAGTTCAGTGACTATCACTCTGAGCTGAACATGAGCGCCTTGGAGCTGAGGGACTCCGCGCTGTATCTATGTGCCAGCAGCTTGCACAGCCCTGCACAGGTACTGGCTTTCTCTACCCAAACCTTCCTGCCCCAGCTGAGGATGTCACTGAGGGAGGGGCGGGGCTGAGGCCCAGCCTTAGCAAACCCCAGGAGCCCTCTCCAGCTGTGGTAACCCTTCTCTGTCCTGCCCAGCTCAGACAGCTTCTGAGCCCTTTATTTCCTAACTCTCTGGACCGTCTCTGCTCTGTGTCCTAATGCACATTAGATATTATAATGCAAACAAAGACATTAGGGTATCCTCTTTATATGTGGGAGATGTTAAGGTATCAGTTCATAGATGGAAAGCTGTAACTCATGGAATTTTGTAACATTTAAGGGATATGAAGGGTAAACAACGGAGGAGGCTGCAATGCTTGATAAGAAATGTACTCATTATCTTGCCCATGTAATTGTAAGCCCTCTGTACAATATGTTCACAAGAAATAAAAATTAATATTAAAAAAATGATCACTGCTGGGATAGAAGTGTACATTCACCACCCCTAACCTGAAGTGCTCCTGAGGCTCTAAAGTGTTTTCTGGTCTGTGCAATAGCAGATAGCACAGCAGTGTCTGTCCACTGCAAGATCAGCTGAGCAGCAATGGTAAGTCCCATTATGGATTGTGGTTGCTATGAGCTAGTGCCTGCCATCAACTTTCAGGACAGAGAGCATTTACCCAGAGAATGAGCCCTATGATAAGTTGAAGAAGAGGTACATGTTTTCAGCAAACTAAAATTTTAATTCTGTAATGAATTTCAAAAGAAATGAGAAGTAGATATTTATAGCTGATACTGATACCCAAAGAAATTATTCTTTCAAAGCCTATCATAACAGGTAGATTACACCTTATGTTAAAATTGATCCTGGGAACTTTGATAGTCCCTGCACCTTTAACCCGACCCCTCAAGAAAAATGCAAGTCTCAGCTAGACTCCAATATGTATCCTACAAAATTAAAAAGAGTAATGGAAGGATGTGGGTAGGGGCAGCACAGGTGAAAATGTTTCAAGGGGTGACCTTGATCACTACACCATTGCCCCATAACTGTCTTGTTAAATGGAAAATCCTTTTTATATTTACATAAAGACAATAATTTAACATACATATATGTATATGTACATATGTTCAAAAAAGAAATCTTTCTTTCCATGGCTTGGCCCAACCATGCTCCACAGGCTCCTTTTGTTGGTGTCTCTTGGGCTCTAGGACCAGCTGGGTCTTCCAAGGCCAGAGCACTAGGCTCTCATTGGATTCTGTCCACCTGCTGTGTCTAGTCCGATTCTGTATTCCTCCTCACTAGACCAAGAGGGCAGCAATGTCATCAAGATTCAGTCCCCTTGTGTGACCGCAGGATGGAGAGCTCACAGTGAGTCATGGCCTACCTGGAAAATGATAACAGGCAATGAATGCTACAGGGTAGGGATGTATTTTCATGATACAGAACTTTAGGCTCCATCCATATTATTCTTTTGGTGAATGGGAGTCTGTGAATGAAGAAGACAGAGAATGTCGGTGTGATTCTGGACACAGCAGTCATCTATCTTTGCTGGTCAAAATCTCCTTCTTACTAGTAATCAGCCTTCTTACCCTTGGGCAGAAAGCACGGAATGGGGACATGAGTGATCCAGGCTCCATGGTGGACTGAAACCAGGGAGAATTCATCTCCTGAGGACACCTGGAGACCTGAGCCCAGAGGGCTGCTGTCACCAGAATCACTGTGAAACTAGATCCTGCACCCTGACCTTCACACGCTAATACCTGGATGTCTGGTGGCTTTTGAAGGCTGGGATACTTTCTCAGAATGACAGGTAATTATTTACCAATAGGGTAAATAAAAATACTTAAAAAAGCTACTTATAGGTCCTGAGAGCTAAGATGCCTTAGAAAGTCACAGGGCAGCAGTGCGGCTCTGCTGAGTCTGCCAGAACCTTAGGAACAATTGGAACAGTGGAATGAAAGGGACTTTTATCTTAAGGGAATTTAAAGATGACCAGGGGAACAGATGTCCTTCCTAAGAATATGAAAACACTAAAATAGATAGTTCCAGTTAATAAGAAATTAAATCTGGCACTCATTATGAACTGTTAAATCGTGTATATGCACTAACAGTACTCGTATAAATGCCATAACCCTGTGCATGCACATAACAGAAAGGAGTTGTTTCTGCAGGTAAGAGGTGTGGTAGGTTAGCAGCAGCCCAGGCATTGGTGGGGAGGTGAGGCCACTGAGTCACTGAGAAGCAACCTTCTTTTTCCTCCAAAGGAGGCTGGGAGACATGGGACTCTGCCCTGCTCCTGAGATGGACACCCAGCTCCTGCACATGGCCTTCTGTCTCCTGTGGGCAGGTGAGGGATGGCTATAGGTGGGCCCCTCACTGCCTCCCACCCCAGGGCATCCCCGGCTTCTCCCTGACAGGCCCCGTCAGGCTTGGGTCATTCTCTGTTACAGGACACATGGAGGCTGCCATCAGCCAACATCCAAGACACAAGCTCACAGAGACAGGAAGACAGGTGAATTTGAGCTGTCGCCAGAATGACAACCATGACTACATGTACTGGTATCGACAAGATCCTGGACATGGGCTGAGGCTGCTCCATTATTCAAATGCAGAGAGAAGCACTGTAAAAGGAGACATCCCCGACGGGTACAGCGTGTCCAGACCACGCACGGAGGACTTCTCCCTCACTGTGGACTCAGCCACCTCCTCCCACACAGCTGTGTACTGCTGTGCCAGCAGTTTCTCCACAGTGCTGTGCAGCTGCCTCCTCTCTGCACAGAAAGTGTGAGGGGAGACAGAGGGCATCTGCTCGCCCCTTTGAAGTCTCCAGTCTGAACAGCAGTGTGTGCCAACTCGTTCCTTCTCAGCCCCTATCAGACCAGAGCTTGGAGGCTGCAGGATACAGATGTCCTTGCTTAAACACGCGTGCACCCTGGTGGTGCGATTACTTGTTCTGGATGACAGTGGCCATTGAATTAGCATTGAATCAAATTGATCTTCAACAGTGGCAGGAAGATGCTCCTGGCAGAGTGGGATTTTATAGATGGAAGATATACAACAGAGTTATCCGTGAACTTTAGGATCTGTTTTATTGTATTAGTCAGTTTCCTATCCCTATGACATAACGTCTGAGTAAACCTAAGGAGAAAATTGTATTTTTTTGACTCACAATCTTAGGCATTTTAGACAGTGTTCACTTGGCTGTGTTGTTTCCACTAGAGAAGTTAGGCGTCATGGTGGGGAGAACATAGCATAGCAGAGTTGATTGCTCCATAGCAGCCTGGCAGCAGAGATGGAGGGAGCAAAGAGGAAGGAGAGAGAAAGAACATAGGAAGGAAGGAAAGAAGGCAGGAAGGAAGGCAGGAAGGAAGGAAGGAAGGTGGGAAGGAAGGAAGGAAGGAAGGAAGGAAGGAAGGAAGGAAGGAAGGAAGGAAGGAAGGAAAGAAAATAAAAAGAAAGAATGAAGGAAGCAAGCAAGCATGCCAAGATGGAAGGAAGGATGCAAGGAAGGAAAAGAAGGGAAGAAATATTACAAAAATACTTGTAGATGGAAGTGGCTCGGTTGCTCACGTGGTAGAGTGCTAGCTTTAAGCTGAAGAGTTGAGGGATAGCACCCAGTCCCAGAGTTCAAGCCCCATGACCAATAAAAAAAATACATGTAGACAAGAGAGAGAGAGAATAAACACAAGTTATGCACATAATTTAGGACATGTCCAAGGGAGCAACTTCCTCCAACTAGGTTCCCAATTGTCATGTTCTCAGTTTTGCTCATCCCTCACCAGTTCATTCAGATCAGAAACCATGAATACAATGATCCATGAAGGAAACTGGAGGCCCAGTGATGGGACCACAAAGTTCCTGCTTCTGATCACTGCCTGCACACAACACCACATTCTTGAATGCAACACTGCACCTCTACACTATAAAAATATTTCTGAGCTGTTTTCGTTCTGTAGCATTGCTCACGACCTCTATAAATTTGGCAGAGAATTCTTATCACTAGATAACTGAAAGACAGCCCATGAGAACCTGGAGAAAGGGAAAGGCTCAAAGGGATGGGTAGTTACATGGCAGAGGGAAGCTCACTAGCTGATAGCTTGAATTTCAGTTGCTTTGGTAGAGGCAAGAAGAAATATCCAGGAGATCTGGAAATGTGCAGGGAGCCTCAACTCCTAAAGTGTTGGAACAGTTCGTGCTTTTCCACAGGCCATGACTGTGCACAGCCTCAAGAGCTCTGTGGGCTTGCAGCTATTGGACAGGAAGACAGAGGCCTCCGTGGAGATGTCACATAGCATCACGGTGGGGGCTGCTGGGTGGGGACACAGAAGCTCCTCCTCTGCTGCATTCCCCAGGACAGAGAGCTGGGAGCACCTCCTGCACTGCCTCACCATGGGCACCAGCCTGCCAGCCTGGGTGTCCCTGTGTCTCCTGGGGATGGGTGAGTCCTCACATCCCCACCATCTCCTTGTCACATCACCCCCCAAGATCATCTCCACTGTTTCCACCCAGATTCTTTGTCTTTTCCTCCACAGCACTCACAGAAGCTGGGGTCACTCAGTCTCCCAGATACAAGATCACAGAGAAAAACCAAGCTGTGTCTCTTTGGTGTGATCCAGTTTCTGGTCACAATGTCCTCTTCTGGTACAGGCAGAGCCCGGGACAGGGCCCAGAGAGGCTGCTTTATTTTCAGAACAAGGATATGAGTGAGGATGCCCAGTTGCCCAAAGATCGGTTTTCTGCACAGAGGCCTGAAGGTGCAGACTCCACCCTGAAGATTCAGCCTGCACAGCTGGAGGACTCAGCGGTGTATCTCTGTGCCAGCAGCTTAGACACAGCCAGGCAGGGACCGTTTCCTGCTGTGCACAAAGCTCTGTGCTTCTCTGCCTCTGTGCAGCTCAGAGCTGCCCTGCACAGAGCCTGCACTTTCCTCACCATCTGAGGAAGGAGGAGGAGGCCCGTCTTCAGATGCAGGCTTCACTCATGTCAGGAGAGGGCAGGCATTGCTTCTTGAGACATGAGGGCTGCATTGTGTGAAAAGGATATCTGAGGGACTGGAAGCAATCAAGAACCCCAAAGTGACAGTCCCTCAGGAGAGACCTGGGCATCCCAGAGCCCAGATCTAACTGGTCCATAAACCATGCACTCTCAAAACACACAGCCAACTCAGGATCATAGAGTTGGTTGATATGCTCAACTGTTTTGCTGTTTCTCTGTGGCTCCTGTGTGACTGAATGTAAGCCTTGGTGGCATCCTTAGCATTAGCTTTTTAGTCTAGCTTCCTGTTTTTCTTTCCATGTGGATTCTCGTGCATTTTCTGCATTATGTTAGAGATTTTTCACTTTCTGTTCGCATGGAAATAAGTTAATAATAATGATGTTGTGTTGGTGATGATGATGATGATGATGGTCATTTATGTATTTTTGCCAGCAACTTCACAACTACAGAGAAATGCACATCCCAAATCGAAGTCTTGATTCAAAACAAATTCTGCTGTTTACTACAGCACTCTTAAGTTTTTCATTGGGATCCTCCCAGCCCTGCACTGTTTTAGGCTTGGGTCAAATGGTGGAGAGGGAACAGTGCATTATTCAAGTCATTGATTGGGAATGTTCTGAAGGTGATCTCTCTCTCCCCAGCCCATCCTGGCATTTCTTCCCTCTTCATCTAGCCTACCTGCAGGCAAGATAGGTCTTGTCAATCACTGATCATTATCTAATAAACTTGTCTGACAAAAAACCAGTTATGGGATGGATCAACATGACCATTAACCATGTCTTTAGCACGATTGTTACTTGGTTCTTTTCCCTACCTCCTATGTCACTTCTCATAGTTACCAAGTCCCTCATGGTATAATTTCTAGATCATCTTTAGTGTCTTTGTACATAAAAACAAGATATTTAGGGAAGAGTTTGCCCTATTATTTTCACCTCTGAAGGCTGTGGGCAATTGCCTTTTCTTCCTCCTTCACTTAGGGCCAGTTCACGAATGGGGGGAGAAGTCAGAGGTCTGCGAAGGTGGATGGCAGCCAGCCTTAGGGTTTCCAGTGCGAAACACTGGTGAAATATGCAGGTGTGGATGAGGAGTGAGGAGAGGGCCCAGAGACCCCGTGTGAGCTGTGGGCAGCAGCAGTGTGGGATGCGGAGGGGCTCCACCAGGCAGACCTCGCTCTGAATCAGCTGTGTAGAAATCGACTTCTGAGGAGCCATGATTTCTGCGTTCTAAGCCTCGCCATTTTCTCTCTTACTGATTCTGATCTTAACTCACAGTAATGTTTGTTCCTTCCTCCTGGCTCCTGATAGAAGGTGCATCTCAGGGCTGCTGGCATCTTTGGCTTCATTAATATCAAGTTACTCCAGGGCTCAGTGATGTCACTGTAGCACCTCCCAGTGGGACAAGGGCTGTCCTCCTCTCCCATGGCTACTTACAAAAGACTATGATAGGGTGACTTTCTCCTCCTCCTCCTCCTCCTCCTCCTCCTCCCCTTCCTCCTCCTCCTCCTCCTTATCCTCCTCCTCCTCCTCCTCTTGCTCTACCTCCTTTCCTTCTACCATGAGCACCAGCCTCCTCTGCTGGGTGGTCCTCTGCCTCCTTGGCACTGGTAAGTCATCAAATACCACTAAGCAAGCATTCCTGTTGTGTGTATGTAT